GCATGGTTCTTTGTAAAGCTTATAATAATAAAAGATAAACTAAAAGCCCAACAATACAGACATAGCCACATATAAATATTTAACTCCCATATTTCTAGGGAAACAAAGAAAAGTTGGCAGTACACTGAGGAAAGCACAACCAACAAGTGACAAATAGTATCTTTATTACCAGCACATATATAAAAAGTTCACATAAATTTGAAAGAAAATATTAAGAACTCAAAGATAATTTACCTCACATTAGATTGATGCAAATTAAAATAAGAAAATATGACATAAACTGGCAATAACACCTTTATTATAATACCTGTTGATGATAATTGTGACATTTGTTGATTAAAGAGTAATAACTTTAATTTTTTTATTTTTTAAAACACATCTTGCTACATAGTTCAGGCTGGTCTTTAACTTGCTATGGAGCCCTCAAACCCTAGATCCGCTGCCTCAGTATCCTGAGTGCTAGAATCAGGAAGGAATCACCACATCCAACTAGAGCATAAAGACTCAATAACATGCTCTTATCTCTTTCACAGTAATCCTACTGAGAATTTTCCCAATAGAATGATCCAAAAAATGGTGAAGTCAAAGAAGCTATATAAATGAAGACTTTCATCATCGTTACCAGTAGCATGGGGAGAAAGACGAAGTGAAGTATGAAGTGCATTTTGTATTCATAAAGAACAGACTTTTAAAGCAAGTCATATAAGCCAAAAGCCTGAGGAAAAGAATTTTACTGATAAAAAATAAGAATTTTATTATATAAAATACAGCTAAATAACTATAAAAATTACAAGAAAATTTGAAAAATGCTTGCAAGAGATCAGTATTATATTAGTAATTAATGTGATTGCCTATATCTATGAATCAAAAAGAAAAAATAATAAACTATGAGAAATAGGTAAGGTTATGGCTAGGCAGTTTCCAGAAGAAATATGTCTAATAAATATATGAAAATGCCTGACTTACTTAATAGTAAAACTAAGTCACAGCAATATATTCTGCTTTTAAAATAGCAGTAACTTTGTATAGACTAGCGACATGTAATGTAGGCAAGTGGATAGGAAAGAAGTTTCTGTTTGTAGGCTATCAACTGCTCTGAAGATCAATTTGGCAATATATGAATAAAAGTTTTAACCTTTAAAATAATTTTAGATTTACAAAAAATTACATGAATAGTAAAAACAATTTTCATTTGGACTGTATTCACATTCCTCTAATGTTAACATTTTATATAACTATAGAACAATTATTAGTACCAGAAATTAACATGGTGCAATTCTATTAATTAAAGATCTTACAAATTTCACTGTCTTTTTAAGAATATGCTTCAGGATACACACTAGGATCTTACGTTATATTTAGTTTCTATGTTTAGTCATTGTTAATTTTTATTTTACTCAATTTTTTTTTTGTACCAGGAATCAAACTCATGCCCTATTGCTTATCAGGCAGAGCTGTAAGACTCCAGGCTAAATTTTTTCTTATATGTCATCAAATTTTAAATGTTCATACAACTTACTTATCATTTCTCTTCTAGAAAATACTCTGCATGAGTGTGCAAGGTTATATTCAGAAGGATGCCTAACTCCAGATTTTCAAATAGTGAAATGTTGGATATGGGGCAAAAAGAAATGACTTGAACTTTCTAGCATTCATACTCTGTATTTCTTAAGTTTTTTTCAGCTGTATGTATTTTATAATAAAAATAAATCAAACTCACATGTGTAAACACATTGTCTCCCTGGTGCGAGAAACTGAAAGAGTAAATAAGGACCAAAATATACTATAGATATTGTGAAACAGCAAGAAATTGTTCAAAAGAAAAGAGAAGTTAGGTTAGGTAGAAGGGAAAGGAAAGAAGAAAAAATGAAAACAAACAGTTAAAATGAAAACAAAACTTTGTAAATAGGGAGAGGAGGATGTATCGAAGGGAGGAGAGGAGCATTGGGAAAAAAGAGGAATCGAAACGTACCACATTCAGTACAAAATCCCTACGATGAATATGAACATTATGCATATCTAAAATGTATCAATAAACTTAATTTAAAAAAAAACATGAAGGACTATTTAGATAGAATTGGAAATCCAAGATAGTCTACATAATTCCCTCATACAATGATAAGACTGGAATTGATAAAACAATGGTTTTGTTTGTCTGTATGGTGTAAGCATTTAGCGATTTGGCAAAATTTAACATCTATTCTGTCACTGAATTAAGAACCCTACTTATAATAATTTTTCTGTAAAATTTTGCACAGAATTTAAGGAAATTTGGTTGTGATGTTGTTGTATTTTTATTTGCAATTCTGTAAATTCAGAATAAGTACAAGTGTCCAGGAAATTACTCCAAAAATTAATGCACTTTCATAAATCAAAATGTAGCCACGTAAGAGCTATTAGATTAAAGAAAAAGAGCTTGTAGGTCACTGAAGTATAAGGTTATCCATGGTCTATTACGGAGTGAAAAAATGGAGTTTATTTCATTCACTTATGTTCATAGAGTACACATACACTTACATATACCATTTCCACCCCTACCTCAGAGAGATACGCTCTAAGACTAGCAAGGGTGCTTGAAGCTCATACATTATCAAAACTTGCAACTGAATATCTTTTTCATCTTAAGTACTAATCATACACTGTGTTCATAACTTTTACAGTCTGAGGTGTGAGGGCAAGACTGCTGTGATTTTCTTTTCTTCTCATTGCAATTTCACAGATAGAAGAGTCATTGTTATGATAGGTCTGAGAACTCCAGCTTAAGACTTTCTTGCTCATTTTATTACATTGAGAACCTTTATCTTTTCGTTTGAAACACTTTACAGACTGTCTTTGGCATATATAAATTGCCACTGCTTTTATACTGTAAGGCCATTATTAAGTAAAATAAAGACTACTTGAATATAGGCACTGCAATACCTCAAGAGTCTGTCTGAGTTATCCGACATGCTAAGCAATAAGAAGATAGGACATGTACAGTGTGGGTGTACTAAACATGTATGTTCTGAGTGAAATATGTGATGTGAAGAGATAAACTTGTATTTTGTGTGAGTCAGTGTAATCTAGAATCTCTTTATTATATCATTATGATGTGCACCTTAATAAATGCATCCAACTACAAGAATAAATTTAAAAAATACAGCTATAACATAAAAAAGAGAAAACACATTTATAGTAAAATATATACTAAAATACATATATAAAAATATGCTTTGGAATAGCTTCGTTCAAAGACAAAAACAATAAAAGAAATGCTAGTCATCCTTAGCATGAGATAATATTATTAGAGACAGTTTTCCAAAATAAATCATACATTGAACAATGATATTTTCCCAAAGGAGGTTGGCAATCTATTTCGCTATGGGGAAAATAATTTCTGGCGCTATGGCATGGGAGGACCTAGTAACAAAATATCATAGAAAATACATTCCTTTCTTGAATCCTGCAACGTATCATGGCACATATTATCACTGGAAGCTGAAAAAAATGTAACTATAAGTAGATAAGGAAGCATATTATGATGCTAAATTAGAAAGAAATGTAAAATAAAGAATATTAAGGTAGGCCTTTGGGGATAATATCAGAGTAAGACTGAAAAACCACAAACCATCTCAAAATAATATTAGTATGTAATTTTTGTAGCATTGAACTTTCTCATTGTGCTAAAAGCAGTTAGAAAAGTTACAAATATAAAGCCTTACAATGCTATAAAATATTCCCAAACATTTATTTTTTTCAAATTCAAGGAGATCAGTGCATTTCATTTGTACCTGGCAATTTAGTGATATTAGGCTTTTAGACTATTAAAAGGCACCTCATATTTGTAAATACTTCTATGGTTTTTCAATAACTATACTTTTACATTTTACCAATAAACATATAGTTGAAAATGTTACAATATGTTGAGGAGAGATTGAGTAAATTACTTAATAATACAAAGAACAGTATATCTAGTCCATATTGGCTCCCTTCTCCATAATAAGCCTTCTAAGAATTAGTTGGCTTTTGTCCTAACATACTATATTTTATATTAAATCACTCACTACAGTGTTGCATTTTAGTTTGTGGAACCCAAGAACTTTCAAAAATCATTCCAAACATGGGGCAGTTTTTACAGTTATATTCCATAAATTCAGTATGTCTAGTGTTGCTAAATGTTATTTAACTAAGGTACTTAAACTATTTGTATTCCCAAAAATTACTATAACCCAAAGTATTTTCACAAATTCCTAAAATGTTCCATTGGGAAGTATCTTTCAAACCACCTGTGATGAAGAACCCGATTCCTCCTTGTCTGTCTGAAATCTATGGTTTTTTATAAAAGAGTTTCTGGTGAGAGGGGAAGAAATGTGAAAAATATATAATCTCTATTTTGTTATTGTTAGATTCAACTGGCAAAATTCCTTTATTTTATTGTTTATTTATATTTTCAATTTCCCATATTAGAGAAACCATGTATTAATTTACCTTTTGTATCTGGCTTACTAACAGTAAGTGGAGTTAAATATTTCTCCACATATAGTATTTAGACTATGTTAAAATTTAATATTCTTTAGAAATGCTATGGACTTTATAAGTTTTCATTAAAAAATTCTACATCTAGAATTTGTTCAAATGCCTGATACTGTTCTCTACTTAAGTTTAATGTCAAGTCCATATTAAGCTGTGAACTATAGGATTTCCATGACATTGTACACACTATAGCACTATAGCATATAAAAAAACATTTTAATATATGAGATTATATATGTATATATTATATATGTAATTTAACAAAAGCAACTATTTACTTTTAACTTATAAGTTCTACTGCTCTTTTGTCCAATTCCGTAACACACTAATCATAAATTAATTTTGTAGCATCAGTTTAAAAATGCAAAGTTATACTCAACGTTTAGAGGAAAAAATAAATTTATTTTTAATTTCTTTATTTTAAAGCTAATATTAATCAAATAGAATTTAAAATTTATTTATTTTATAATAGTAAAACACAACCTTACCCTTTTCTTGGCCACCATAGCAACTTTGGTATCTGCTTTGGATTTATCTGTAAGAGAACAACATATGACTGGCTCACAAAAGTACCTGTGGTCCTTTTCGTATGAACACAACTATACAATTAGAATTTTCTATTTTCTCAAAGTAAAATAACTGTACTTTTCTTTACTGGTTCCTTTAATTAAAATGCCAATAAATTCACTTCTCCAAAGTTGAGTAGAGCTAAGTAACCCCAAAGTGGTAATATCAGGAATTCACATCTGTTTCTCCTTTCTTAAATTTATTGATTAGATATACTTTCTCAGGTTAGTATTAAGTGTAGTATCTGATTTCTTGGTTATAATTAGCTTGTGTGCTCTGGATTATATAGGATCTAGACTTAAATCCCAGCTATCTCTACCTACATACTACATGTCAGATATGGGATAAGAACTTTATATACACAATATCTTCTTTATATCATATGATAACTTTGCAAAGTATATAGTTCTTCCTCACTTAACAGCTGAAGAAACTGAGGTAAGATAAAATAGCCTGGCTGAGGTCTGTGTATCACAGTCATGTGATTACAAGTTTCTAGTCCTTGCAGGATGTTCACTGCGTCTGTTTGAGATAATGAAGGTACCAATGGTGCCTCAAGACTTCACAAAAATGAGATCTATCAGGAACTCTCTCATACTACTACCACTCCTACAAATAGAATAATGAGTAACTGCATCTTTTATGGAAAACTATGTCAGGACATTGTTTTGGTATGTATAATTTAGATTTTGGTAAAATTACTGGCACGAAGTATAAACCTAGATTATAACTTGATTATCCTATGCACACTACAAATAAAGTATGTCCCATATCTATTTATGGGCTTAGATGACCCTTTTGCCTAGAATAGCCTTTCTCCCTACTGATGAATAAACAAGACTATCCACCATTACAAATGGTTCCTGCAACTAGTAGAAAGCCCCAGTTCTGTTGGCTAATGCATAGTTACAATAGGCCACAGAAATTTTTTTCCTCGTATTGGATATTTCAATATGTCATGTCTAAGTGAAAGTACTTATATAAAACTGGGATATTCCTCAATGCCAGAGATAAAATTGTATATGTAAGTTTTGGATATCATTTATAATTTCTAATAAATATACATTGATTTTTATCCAAATTCTTACATGAATCTGAAATACCCACTTGCTGATCAAATTAATATAACCTATTAAAATATATCAAACAAACATATACATATTTATCAAGCATTACTTAGTGTATGCTATTATACTAGATGATGTAAGATACAAAACAATGTCAATGTTCTCAGATTTTCATTTTACTTATTAATCAACAAGGGGTAATAATTATTACCTTATTGTTCATCGAGAGATTTAAGTAATACAATTCATGTAAATAAAGTTCCTAAACTAATATCCAATAAATAGATAAATAAGTATCAATTACATTTTAACTAATAAAGACATTATGAGGTATGTGGATGTAAGAGGGAAAATAGTTTAGTTCTTCTTTTAATCACTTTCCTGTCACAGAACAAAATATTCAATATCGTCAATTTAAAAGAGAGGTTTGTTGGACTCACACTTTAAAGTGGGTTTAGTTTCTGCAGCATGGTTGGTTGGCTCATGGAAGGAACAGTATAGTGAAGTGCATGGTGGACAAGTGCTTGCTACCTGGTAGCCAGGAGGCAGAAAGCAGGGAGAGCTGAGGAGAGAGACAGGTACAAAGCACACCTGGAGAAACCTGACTTTTCAGTCCAGAGACCAGAGACTATTTTCTTGCAGCACTTGTAGCCATGAGCTATTCACTGATGAATATATGCCTCCAAGATTCAATCATCTTCCAAAATCCCAACTCTGAGCATACAGGATTTTTTTTTAATTTTTAAAAAGGGTAAAACTAAACATAACAAAACAGAACAAAGCAGATCAGAAGAAAACAATGTAAGTGACACAGATTTCAAAGCAAGACAACAGAAGATCTATAGTGGCTACCATAATGTCTTGTCTTTTTTCTCAACAGTTGTCTATATCTTCACACATAGTGAATTCATACAAAACAGAATAGTATAAAACTGATCAGAAAGAGTAATGAAGGCATATAGGCCTTCAAAACTAGACAGTAGGAAAATCAACAATGGCTGCCATAATGTCTCTTATTCTCTTCAAAATAGCTGTTCATACCTTTATGTATGTTGAAATGAAAAAATATAAAACAGACTAAAACCACTCTAAACAAAGAATAAAAGCATTATTGGATTCCACAGTACGGCGATATGGAATCAGCAATGGATATCATAATGTCTTCAAAGTAGCTGTTCTTTTCATCATGCATAACATAATCGATTCTTGTAAACTGTTTAGGAGAAGTTCTATGCATATATAAGCCTCTACATGTATACCTATCCTTTCTGTATTAGAGGGAAAAACAAAATAGATTACTAGAAAGACAAGAAACAAAAAAGACAAATAAATAATAATAGCAAACAGCCCAAAACAATGACAATATAGGCCTCCAAAACAAGGTGGTAGGAACATAACTAGGGTTATTTTACATAATGATCTTCAAGAGTTCCTCAGATCACCAGACACTAATATGCAAAAGTGTTCCAATCCTATGAATGTTTTGTCCCAAGAACTTACAGAATTTGTAGTACAGTCATCTTAGTCATCCTAAGTATCTTTACACAAATTTAGGTATTGTTTCTTTTCCCTTCCTTTTCTTTTGCTCCTTTTCTCTAAGATATTTTTTTCACCTTTCAGCAGATTCTTATCCTTTCACTGTATTTATTGAGGGTTTTGTATCATATGTACTCTTACCATTTCTTACAGTAGGGAGACAATACGGTATTTACATATGTAAATATGTACATACATATGTGAGCTTGATTTATTTTACGTATGAGTACGGTTTTGAGTTCCATCCATTTACTTTATAGATGAGCAGTACTCCATTGTATAAAAAAAACCCACAACATTTTTATCCATTCCTTAGTTGATGGGCATTTAGGTTGGTTCCAAGATCTGGCTATTACAAATTATGCTGCTATAAACATGGGTGCACATATATCACTGTGATATGATGTTTTCAGTTCTGGGAATATGCCTACAAGGGGAATAGCTAGGTCGAATGGGACTTCTAATCCCAGCTTTCTGAGGAACCTCCAGACTGATCTCCACAGGGGTTGCACCAGTCTACACTCCCACCAACAGTGCAGGAGAATTCCTTTTCCCCTTAAGCCTTTCCAGCATTTGTTGTTGGTAGTTTTCTTGATTCTGGCCATTCTTTCTGGAGTGAGATGGAATCTCAGTGTAGTTTTAATTTTCATTTCTCTAATGACCAATGATGCTGAACATTTTTTCATGTATTTACTTATCATTTGTATTTCTTTATCTGAGAACTATACATTCATTTCAGATGCCCATTTTTGGATTGGATCTTTGAATTTCAGGGTTCTGATTTTTTTTAATTCTTTATATGTTTTAGACAGAAGTCCTTTGTCTGATGGACAGTTGACTAAGATTTTTTAAAAATTCATGGGTTTCCTTTTTACTCTGTTGGGAATAGAACTTTTGAGGGACATTTCTAATCTATATTATAATTATGATACATTTCATTCATATCATCTTTTAAAGATAATTATATTATTACTTAATGTAATTATTTTAGTCTTCTCAGTACAGTTGTAAATAATAGATGAATAATAAGAAAACAACAAAATGTTTCAGGATATATGAAAAAATATGAAATTCTACAATGTATGTTTGATTATAAATGAGATCTGTGAAACTTTATTGTAATTAGAAGATAGAATAAATTGTTTTGTTCTGAAAAAGATGTAATTTTTCTTTTCAAGACCTCTAGCAAGAATAAAAATGATGATGAAATACTGGTACTAATAAATATTTAAAACTGAAATTTTAAAAACTTTAAAAAGTAACAAGGTGTTCAATTAAGCCCTTTGGAAGATAGGAAGTTAATGGAAGCATAAAGAATGGATAATTTGCATTTCAGCTGAAAATATATTACTCATATATAAAATCTGCAGTATGGAAATGAATTGAGAACAAAAATATCAAACTTTTTTCAAGAATATTTTTATGTTCAAAAGATATGGAATCATCTCCCAATAAATGAAAAGTATCTCAGGGAGTACCAACCACAAAGATTTTAAAACATCTAAGAAATATTCTGATGTAATACTTAAAATATTCTGATTACTACAGATTTTTCTATTAATAACAGTAGGTTCACTTTCACCTTCAGCAATATTAATCATTAAAAATCTAAAATTGAATTTTCCCTATTAAGAAAGATTTAATTTCCTATCCCTAGAAATCTCTTCATGTCGGTGTCCTCCCCATTACAAGTGAAAAACAGTTAACATAAAAGGCAAATTTTGATAATGAACTCTTACTTATCCTCTGAGTAACATACAAGTCATATTTTTAAAGTACAAATGAAGAGCAGCAGGTAGTAAATGAAATTTTCTAAATGAGTAGAGGTAGTTATACCTCATGACTCAGAATAATATGATAATTCTTTATTTACAGTCATATTAGAGAAGAATACAAATATTAACATAATTCAATGGCTTCTTTCTTTTAATAGGATTTTAAAGCTTTCCCACTCAAGCCCCCTGAAAAACTTGATTAATTCATTCTTCTTTAAATGTGACAAATGAAAGCATTTCCTTAAAAAGATAAAAAGCAGTCCAGCTTCTGGTATGGAATCAGAGGAAATTAGGATGTGCCATTTGATCCCAACATACTAAAAGCTAAACAGAGGAGACAACATGGCTAAATAGAGAAGGCACCTCATTCAGGGCTATTCAGAGGAATTCAACTAAAACACAGGTAACTGGAAGAAAGGGGAGAGATGTACACCCTAGAACTGAAATAGATCTTACATAAGATACTCATAGATCAAGCAAAGTAAAATAAAGGACTTCATAAAACTGCTAGCCTGCCCATCAGCTGCCAGAGTGGGCTTCTGGATCAGGACAATTGTGTGGCCTACTTGGAATATTAAAAGAAAAAGGAG